TGGAGAGTATAACAATACTTAGTTGCACTGAGTTTGTATATGACTGCACAGAAAATTAGCTTTTGGTTGCAACATCGCATCTCTGTAAAGACAATGATATGAAAGCTGAATGAGGTGACTATTTTCCTACATACAAGACAAAGTGCAGGACCATATTTGACACAGTTATTCTATGTTCCTATCTCATCATTTTAAACATTAGCACATTTGGCACATACTTGATGATATACACAGTATTAAACATTATCATGTGGCCTTGTAAGAAAGCACCAATAAAACAAGCCGTCTATTGTGCTTCATTTACATTTCTCTTTCCTAAACACAGACCTAGTATTTGCATGGTTGGATTCCTTCCCCCCTTCCAAGTAAATGCAGCACCCATCTTTTTATCACCCAAGTCACCACTCACTGAAGCAGCATCCATTAAACATTTGGATACTCAAATAAGGTAATACTCAGCATGAAGGGTAATCTTTATTTACAGTCTGAGCAGACAGAGATGGAGGGCACAGCAGATTTACGACTGGTCCAGGGGACCAGTAGTGTGACTCTAAATGGAAATAACACACTGTTCCACCTCTAGAATCCTCCTGTTCTGCATTTAAACAGACAATTCCATTCAGCACCAGAATGATGATGTAACATTCATGAGCTGAGTCCATTTCATCCCACGCTTTTACAGATGAATAAAATACGATATTGAACTGAACAAATGGCTCTTGTGCCAGCTTTACTTTAAGTAAATATGTGGAAGTGTTGAGTAAAGCCTGATGGTATTTTTTTGGAAGGAATGGCGGAACCATTTGCCCCCTTGGTTCCTTTTGTGTAAAGAGTTGTAAATGGAAAACAGTGCAGACATACAGCATGGTGCACAGCACGCATGATGTTTGGATTTTATTTGAATGTAAGTGGTGTAGTAATGATAAATTAAAATGCCACTGCAGCACTTACATTTTATTACAATGCAAGGTACCTGTCACAGCCATTCATTAATTTTGTTCACTATAACTGCGGCTTGAGGAGAATATACACCGCTGGAGGGAAAAGTGGAGGGCTGCCACTTTTCCAAGAACCTGTTCAAAGTGCTTTCGTGTTCTCAAATTGTGCTGTACTGTAAATCCCTCACAGATTTAGAATCATCCCTTTCAGTGAATATGCAATGTGAACATTGTCCAGACTAGTGCGTTCTTTCTTTTCCTTTTTTTCCCTGCATCTAGTTGAAAGAACATCTGTCTCTGTGTATTTCCTGGAAACATGAAAGAGAGTAAAATAGCTTTTTTTTTCTTTTTCCAGTATCTTGAGAAAGTCTCAGATGTGAAATGGATGAAAAGAGCTCAACTGACCCAGTAGATATAAATCATCAATAAAGGGGAGCGGTGTGTCTTATATCTCGGTGACAGCTGACAATATCTCACCATGCGGCGCCACAGTGATCAATCCTGCTGTTTGCCATTTCACTCTGATTGACACCAGCCCCAGGACTAATGCAACAGAGGCTCCTGGGATCTTGCTTCCAATCTGTACATCAGCCTGCAGAGACCAATAGCACCTTTTCAGCACAAAGAGAAATGCTGCCTTTGTCTGTCTTTCAGCTGTCCGATCCCTTATGTGATAAATCCGCTCTCATCTCAAACTGAAGACATGTTAGGATTCAGCTGCTGTAGATAACTTCAAATACAGCACCAAAAGTCTGAGACCACTTTCCCATTCCCACTTGAATGAGATGCAATCTTAAGAGGCATCCAAACAAACATTAGATACATTCTTTTATGTCTCGGCTTAAAACGTACTTTTTTCTGCATATTTGTTGGACTGTTAATTTGTTGCACTATTATTTGTTTTCTGTCGTGTATCACTTTGTATTTTTACCATTTGTTTTCTCGTTGTACGGCACTTTGTAACTTGTGTGGAAAAGTGGAATATAAATACAAATACAAATAATATAAATACAGTCATTATTATTAGAATTTGTATCATTGTCAATGCACAGCTACAGCAACCACCAACAGTTAGAATGCAGAGAATCATGGCTGTTAATGTTAAAGGGATAGTTCACCGAAAAAAACGGAAATTCACTCATTATCTACTCACCACTATGCCGACGGAGGGGTGGGTGAAGTGTTTGAGTCCACAAAACACTTTAGGAGTTTCAGGGTTAGGGTTAGTCTTAAAACAACTGTTTACCCCCTTTGTGGACTCAAACACCTCACCCACCCCTCCATCGGCATAGTGGTGAGAATTTTCCTTTGACACATAACTTAAGGGGATAGTTCACTGACAGTCAGCTTTGAAAGAAGATCTGTCATATCCCTCTATCAGATGTGTCACATGCATTTTAATACAATAGACAAATAGTTTGAATACATTGAGTTAATTTAATGTTTTCATGAAAAGATAAGGCAAATTACATACATCTATACATCCAATTAAAAGCCCTGACCACACCATGTACAGGCCAGCAGTCAGTGTGTTATTTAAGGACAGACAAGAAAACGAGAGAGGTAGACAGACAGTGGAGAAAGAGAGAGAGGAAGCGCCAGCTGCACTTACTCATGTCCACCCACACACAGCTGAACCTGTAGGATTATCATCTTGTTATCCCCCCTCCCCTCCCGCTTTGTTCCCTCCATCTACAGCATGAATGAGTGATGCAACTAAGACCCACATTTAGCCACAGATGAATCATGTATTTTTATCAACCGTCACATCAGCTTTTGATGGCAGAAACATGGCTTAAATGTTCCACGATAATGGAAAATACTCACAGTAAAGAAGAACAGGCTGACAACAGGGCAACCGAGGTGATCGGCTGGGTATCGGTAAAATACATTTGTGCCTGACTGAAGCCAAGAGGGGGTCAACTTCGTATTGTATGCTGTGTCTACAACCATTTACATAGTTGATGTACTGATTCATTTTTTATTATCTAAATATAAAATGTCACAAAGAACAAAAATCGTTCTATATTTCCAGAGCTTCAAATCATGTCTCCAAATGTTTATTTTTTCTGACCAACAGTCAAATAAGACTAAAAGTCTGCAGCAGCAGAAATGCTTTGAGCTAACATGTTGAGCTGTGTGTTCAGTTGGTGTTGGAATAATTAGAAAAAGTCATGTGAACGCCACCTCGAAGGCTGTACTTGGACAGTCTGTGAAAGATTTGGTACACAAGTTGCCAAGTTGCTGACATCATCACTTTTAAACCAACAAACATCATTTGACTGAACTTGTCAAATGTTACACTTGTAAACTGTCTGTCCATTTCTCACAAGCACCTAACACCAGACTTTTTTAAACCAATACAAATGTTTTTATTATTAACTTGCATACGTTTTATATTATCTATATGCATGTCATTTCTGATACCTTATCTTTGTTCTTAGATTGCTCGCATACAAATATTAGAATGAAGTGTCA